GTAATTTTCATGATGCAATATAATTTCTTTAATTGCAAATCTAACACTGTAAAATCATTGTGCAGTTATTATTTTATAAATATAGATATGTACACTCATATACGTATATCTGTAAAAAAAATTTATTTAAATTAAACTATCAACACATCATAAATTCTATTATGCTTTCGATTGTAGCAAGAGTTCGATTACATTTTTCAAGACAACTGAGAAACCGTTTGATTTCTAAAATATCCACGCAAGACAGTAACGCTTTTATAGCGTTACAACACATTAACTATGCTAAAGTATACCTCGTCCAGACCGCGGTCAAGGAAACGCAGATGCCATTGGAGACTATGAAGAGAGCTTATCAGACAGAAGTGTCCTATGGAACACTAATAGTAGACGGCCTTCTACATAATGAATGTGAAAGGAATGACATCTGCATCTTTACCGATGGCTCCTTGATGGATGGCAGAGTTAGTGCTGGAGTTTATTCGAAAGAGCTAAATCTGACGTGCACTCTACATCTAGGAATATATGTCTCCGTCTATCAGGCGGAACTTATGGCGGTCTCACATGCTCTGGATCACCTATTGAATTGTCAGGTGTATCAGAAAAAGATTCTGATAGCGCTGGACAATCAAGTAGTTATCAAAAGCATGCAAAAGACATAGGTAGCTAATAGCTTAGTTCAAGAATGTGTAACCAAGCTCATGGAATGTGCTTATGGAACTGAGGTAACGATCGTGTGGGTTAAGGGACACATCGGTATTGAGCAAAACGAGAAGGCAGATGAACTTGTAAAGCAAGTTCAGGCTGACCTCACTAATTACTGGACATGGCAACTTCAAGTATCATCTCAAAAAGATAACTCTTGCTGAGGAAGACACTTGCAGATTATGTCTAGAAGAAAAGAAGACATATATTGTGCCAATGTCCAGCACTAGCAAGTAGGAGAAAGACACCATTGGGTTGGTGATGGTGATGAAAATCCTTCACTTCAGATATAAGCGCATTGATATTTGTTTTCTACAATGAAACCAGTTGTTAGGATCTTTTCGATATATGTTATGTATATCTTTAAAATATATATACAAAGGTCTACAGATTAAAACTGTCTACAAATACATCGTTTATTTATTTATTTATTTATCGTTTATATTTATTGTATATCTTCCAGCTTCTAATACTAACATTTTCACAATACACAAAATTTAACTGCACTTTTCTTATAAATAATACTTATATTGATGTTAAACTATAATAGTATTTTGCTACATAAAAGAGTGAAAAAGTGAAATTTGATAGCTTTATTCACTGGGCAGCGGCACTAATTATTAAACTATTGTCAGCAGTAGAAAATTTAAAATCAACATTTTCAAAATTAACATATCGAAATATAAAACAATAAATCAATCAAACTTTATAGGAAGCCAAAGACACAAAATATTTACAGCCTCGCCCCATTAAAGTTTGATTTTCTGCTCACTGACTCATTAACTCCAACAACGCAAAATCGGTCCAACAATGCAAAATTGGTCAAACGCTTAGCAAGCGAAGAATGTTTTAGCGGTTATTTTTGAATTTCATATATTTTATAAATTGAAGTTGACTAGAATAAACAGCCGAGACGAATTTTAGCACATTTTAGCACAAACTGATTAATTGGCATATTGAACGTTGTGACAAAAAGTTAGCATAAACCAAGGGAGTGCGTGAGTACCGTCCCAAGCCAATCAATTAATCACAGCAGATATGTGTGATTATGTCGAATGGTTCTAATCCGTCTTAAGATATTCATAAAATTAATTAAACACTTCTTTACAAACTTCTTTCTTTACAAATAAATAAAAATTAGGTTGTAGCGGTTATATGACCACAATCAATACAAAAAAAAAAAACAACAAATCGTGCCGTAATTCATCATTTAAAACTAAATAATATAGGTATTATGATCTCAGTAAAAACGAGCATATTGTTAAGGATTAGCTATGTTATAGGCACTTGGTGTTGGATGTTGCTTAACCTCTTACAACAATGTGCAGTTCGATACGGGGTCAATTTATTACAGAGCACAACTTAATTAGTAGTCAGAAGAATCCTTTTGGAACTAATCTGAATTTATGAAACAGATAAAAGTATAAAAAACACTGAATTTAAAAAAAGTATTTGACATAAAACACGAAATATTAAACATTTCAACGAGATTCAATTGTTGACATTGCTTAGCAGAATTCTGTGAATAACAGATTTAGCATAATATAAGATTTCAAGTCATAGATAATATTAAAATGATAATACGGCAAGTCGCGCAGCTTCCGTCTTATTAACACGGAACTAATCTATTTAGGGTATCCATAAGTTATGGCAAAACCCACGCTCTCTAAGTTCACAAAACTTCAAGTGCATGCCTATTACATCGTATATACAGATTAAGGATCATGGTATTAGCATGAAATTCAGCTTTCCGTCTAGAAAGGTTTGTAATAGTTATCCGCTGATGGAAAACGCGGTAGAGGATGTCTGGCGATAGCAAATTTCTGATTGAACTGGTTGACTGAGGTCACTGGACCCTGCCAAGAATGATTTACGTTTATAATGGCCAAGAAAGAAAAAGAAGAAGAGGGGAAAAAAAAGAGAAAGAATAGATGAGAAGGAAGAAAAAGAAGAAGACGAAGAAAAAGAAGAAGACGAAGAAAAAGAAGAAGACGAAGAAAAATAATAGGAATAAGGAATAAGGAAAGGAAGAAGAAAGAGAGGAAGAATAAGAAAGAAGAAAAAAAGAAGAAGAAAAAGAAAAGAAGTAAAAAAAAAAGATGAAAAAAAGAAGAAAAAGAAAAAGAAGAAAAAGAAAAAAAAAAGAAAAAAGAAGAAGAAGAAAAAGAAAAAGAAAAAAAAGATGAAAAAGAAAAAAAAAGAAGATGAAAAAGAAAAAAAGAAGATGAAAAAGAAAAAAAATAGATAAAAAAGAAAAAAAAGAAGATGAAAAAGAAATTATCCAGATTATTTAAGAGTGAAAGATATTGTAAGAGTCGTTCTCCGTATATATCCACTTTGTAGTTGTCAAGTCTAATTTTATTAATTAATCATTAATTTTAAATTTGAAAAGCTTTCTGTAATATGAAATATTAAGAACTTTTTTTTAACTTAACAAGTACAAATATTTAAAAGTATATACAGAAAAATAATAATTTATATATCAAAAAAAAATATTGTGCTCTGGTGTTTACATATAATTTTCTGAGTTTCCTAATTTTTAAGCGTGCTGTGCAAATAGAAAAAGAGCATAATGAAGTAATTAAGAGAAATAAGCTTTAGGAAAAGTTTTGAATAAATGTAGAGTGCGAAAACGAAAAATATCTCTAATATATTTAAATAAAAACTGAAGAAATAATTGATAACGTCATTCTTTTTATTTTAAATTTGTTTTATAATTATTTGGTAACATTAATGACAAATTAAATTATTTCATATTTATATGCTTATACGGTCCGGTAATTGTTTTTTTTAAATTTAATTTCCAAACAAAATATGTAATAAATAAATATTTTGATATTAATTTTAGAAACTTCATTCAATAGATTAAAATTAAATATCAAATTCTATTTAATTGGTTGACATAAAAAAATTTATTTTAACATACGATAAATAACATAAGCACATACCGTATTTCAATGTATTTGAATTTGTTTTATCAGAGCAGTTATGTGTTGCTTACATTCATCGTATCATATTTAAGTTTGTTATGTTAAAAAAAGCAACATTTCAATAAACAGAAGTTCATGTTCATGGCCATGGCACTTAACAGCGAATTGAAATCAAGTTTACAGCGTCCATTAACAGAGCTGTAAACTTGCTACATTGCACATGTCCAACTAACTGTGTAACACATGCACAACCAAAACACAAGTAGCGTGCTCTGCTGTAGTTGCTTACCACTGTTGTTAGGTGATGTTAGGTGATAAGCAGGCAATGTAAAGGCAGGCATGCTTTGTTTACAAAAACAATTCACAGCAAAATAGTTGCGACAGGTAAGCAGCTCAGAGTATGTTTAGGTTAGTAATGTGTATAGTTAGACTTTAGCAAATAATAAATACGGCTAGCGTAAGAGGTGCGTTGCCCGAAAGAGTAAATAAAATCACTTAGAAGCAGATGTCAAAGCAAATAACTCCATTCAGTGGAGCAGACAACAAAGCGTGAAGTAAAAAAACATGCAGACCATGCAGACAAGAAGAATGTGTGGATGATAGAGTAAAAGAGAAGTTTTTCATAGCTTGGTAAACTCTTTTCTTTGCAAATTTCTCCAACTTTCGCAGAAGAGCAGTAAAAAAGAAAATATTATGCTGTGTCAGGTGTGCTATGTGCCACTCTTATACGCTTGCGTTTCATGCTTATCGCTATAATACAGCATCGCTTGAAGCACAAAACACGTTCCACATTTGTGGCACATAAGTTGTAGCAGCGGTAACCATTGCTATTGCTGTTTCCTCACAAGCGCTGATCGTGATCTTCATTGCGATCAGCCAAATTCGTGTTGCTGTTGATGATTATGATGTTTATAATGATGATGTTGATGATGATGACGATGTTGATGATGATGGTGCTCTTGTTGTAGCGCACATTTGCTTTGGAGTAAGTTTTACCGCTGCATGTCGGCTGTATTATTTGTTGTTATTTTAGCAAACATTGAGTAGAGCCCAGCTTCGGCTTTCGGCAGTAGAAATGTTTTCTTTCTTCATCTGCAGCGAGTCAGCAGTCAGTACTTTTGCATTTGTGAAGAAGAAATATACTTCTAACTTATATAACAACTTATTACCTTGGCGAAAGACTTTAGTTCTACGGCGACCTTACAACGGTCAAGTTCGTTTTTTGTGCTTAAAAAATTTTGAGCACTTTTTTTTGTATAAAGATATTAAAGATTCTATTCGTTAAAATTTGTAAATTTTTAATGCAATATTAATTAACGGACTTTGCGAACTTCTACGGTTATTTAAAATAATTATAATTTTATTTTTTAACGCTTGGTGTTAGAATAAGAAGTATTAGACGCGCTCCTGTTGGTTCTTCAAGTGTAAAAACAAGATAACGATAAGAGTTAATTGGAATAATTACAGATCAAATACTTTGAAGTGTTTCATAAATTTAATGACAGTGTGTATTAAACTACAAACAATTAAAATCTAATAAAAATTATTTGTTCCCAATTAAAACTATTTTATAGAATTAAAATAAGTGCTAAAAGTGAAACATAAGAGGAAAACTATTAGTACAACAGAGATTTTTGTGACAATCAGGTGGGTCTAGAATTAAATTAAATTTAAATTTATTAAATAAATTTTCAATTAAAACATGAAAATCTTATACATGAGATACTTAGTAAAAAACTATCTATGATATATATAATTGTTTATATATGTTCAATGTTATTCTAGTTTAAAATATATAATGAATGTTATTAGCAATCTTCAACTTAATATAAGTAATTGTTAAAACAAATGCTCTGATTATAACTCTGATATAGAAAATAAAAAAATATAAAATATATTATTAATTGAATTAAAATAAAAATTATTAAGTCTGTTCAGAGACATGTATAACTATTAGGAACGCCAGAAAGATACCAATATTTATACATTATTTTAAGAAAAATAAAAGAAAATAAATTACAAATGATAATAAATCAAATAATAAGCAAAAATGACAACCAACTATAAAACATAAATGAATAAATGAAAATTAAATAAATAATAATAAATAAATAAATAAAAATAAATAAATAAACAAAAATAAATAAATAAAAGTAAATAATAAAAACAAATAAATAAAAATAAATATAAAAAAATAAAAAAAAATAAATATATAAAAATAAATATATAAAAATAAAAAAAAATAAATATATAAAAATAAATATATAAAAATAAATAAATAAAAATTAAACAAAACTAAAATAATATGAATAAATAAAAATAAATAAATAAATAAAAATAAATAAATAAAAATAAATATAAAAAAATAAATATATAAAAATAAGTAAATAAAAATAAATATAAAAAAATAAAGATATAAAAATAAATAAATAAAAATTAAACAAAGGAAACTAAAATAATTGAATTAACTAAAAACAAAACATGTAACCTGAAAAACATTATATAAAATATTTGGGTGGAGCAAAATATTAAATCAATAAATGTATAATAACATTTTATTAAACAGGAAGAATATTTAATAAGAATAATTAAAAAATGAAAAAATCAAGTTCAATAAAATATATACAGTTCAAATATATATATATAAATCAATAAATTATATATGGAATAAATTTTTTTGTGGTTATATTATATCTATATAGTTATCTTAAAAATTTATCTCATTTGTCTATAGTAACAAATTGTTATATATGCAACAGTACGCATTTTAATTGAAATAATAATGTCTATAATACATTATTAGAAAATTAATTGTATACAAAATTTTAATTAAAACTATTTACAATAAAAAAAAAGTGTAAAAATTAAATGCTTTACCAACATAAATTAAAGATGAATACAATTAATTAATAAATATGTAATCATTTCCAAGAAATAAATAAAAAAAAAATAAAAATAAAAATGACAAACATTATAAAGGAAGCTTTAACTGAAATTCTAACTCTTAGGTATTTATTGATTTTATACTAAAATTTAGCTTATTATAGAAAGTATAAGAATTTTTTCATTAACAAAAAGCAAATTTTATAATTTTATATTTTATTGATTTATAAGTACTAATACCTGACATTTCGGTTATTATTTATTTTGTTTTATTTAATAACTGATTTTTTTGGTGCTGTCAACTGGCAATTTGTCTTGATATATTCAGTTTATTTTAATGTATACCATTGAGCTAAGTTGAGCACTTACTGATTGTTAGAGAGAAGTATATAATTTATTTCTGTAACTATAGCCTAATTTAATTTGTCATGAGAACAGGTTAAGTTCATATAAATTAGACTTTTAACTGTAATGTAATAAAATAGTGATTATAGAGAAAAAAATAGACGTAGAAGATGTTATATGTACGGTATGATATATAATATCACAGTAAATGTTTCTACGTATAAGGTTAATTTTTAATTTTTATAAGTGCAATTTGGTTTATTATTACTTCAATATATATCTTTACTTCAATATATATGTTTAAGCTAAGTTGAGCACTGACTGCTTGCGAAAGTGTGCTATAGTGTTAATTTCATATACTTTAGTTCTTTAAATTGAATTCAATTGTACTGTATGCAATAAAAATATCTATAAGTTAAAGTTAATTGTCATGAGAACATATTAATATAAAGTAAATTATTTCATTAGTACTAATTGAATAAAACAGAGAAACAATTGTAAGATAAAGTACAAGCTATAGTAGGTAGAAGATGTTATATGTAATGTATCATATATAAGGCCATAAAATATTTATCGATTTAAAAATTTAAAGAAAATGTAAAGAAACAGTTTCATTAAAAGTATCTGACATATATCCACCTTAGTGCATATTATGAAAGCTGCATTTTAAACTAAATTTAGATACAATTAGCGGACGAATAACTTCAAAAAGAATTGTGATAAGACATTTTATTGTAGGACTGCAATAAGTGGGACGTAAAAAAATTTTAAGGATTTTTTTTAAATTGAAACTAGTCTGATTGCAAGGGTTAAATATAGTTATAAAATTGAAGTTATAGGGCCATTAAGTACCTTAAAGCCTATTACATCAAACTATTTAAAAGCATTAAAATCAACTTATTTCTGATTTGAGAAACATCAAATATGTGTTTCTTTTGTCGTATTGAAGGTTTCGCAAAGTGTTTTTGTTTTAGTGACTGATGTTTGTTTGCTTAACAAAATATTTAAAAAAAATTAATACTAAGTCTTAATAGCATTAAAGTGCAAAAAATATATCAAAATGTGTTTTTTTCTTTTACCTCATAAATTTCCAAGTCACTATTAACACATTAAACATAACTTGTAAATATGAGAAAACAAATCAACTAAGAAAAAGTCGAAGAAGAAGTACAAAAGCTAGACAGAAGGAAGGAACGACGCTGAAGACACCAGATATAAATTTCTAGGATGCAAGGTCTTGAGTTACAGCTAACAACAGTTGCTAGCCTCAATGCTGAACAGTTTTTGCACTTCAGTTTTTTCGCGCCTGCCAGCATTACTCTAGAGAAAACAGCATCACGTCGTAGAAGCCTGGCAAAAAAAAGGCATAGAAGAACCAAAAGTCAGACGAGACCAAAACAAAAAAAATAGAAAATTTAATTTTCAGTATAAAAACATTAAAAAATATAGTAATCAGAAAAACTAAAACAAAGATTCATGCTTCTAAAGCTGACAAGAATAGCACCCCAGGTGAAAAAAGGAGATGAAGATGATGATGACCACGACGACGTGGGGAATGACAAAACAAGAACAAATAACGTTGCATTCACAAAACCCAAATGTAACTTCATTCTTGTACAATAGCTCAAGCATGAATCCGTAATTTAATTGCTAGAAGAAAAATCATTAATCCTTGGCAATTATTATTCGCTATTCGAAATCCACGAAGCATATGAAAAGTGGTATTCCGACACGATTAAATCCATTTCTCTTTTTAAAGTTTTAGATTAATATAATGTGGAATTAAAGTGGGTAAAATCGGCCACAACTGCCCTTGACACTATACACGCATTGCAAAATTTTTGCTACAATATTCATCTAGAGGCTTATCATTATCTGATGTCACTGCAGACCAACTGCTTATGACGGCTTACAGTACGCAGCTATTAAGGTAGTACTAGAGGTAAGACAGTTTAACAGTTATGCAGCTACATCTAAAGTCTTTTCCGTAATTTCATGTTAACAAAGGTTAATTCTATTATTATGGCCTATTGCTATTTTAATATCAGTGGATTTATTAAGATTTCTTGATATCTCGTCATTGTGTATGTTTTGTTGGGAACAAAGTATTTACAGATTACTAATAAAATTTTCTTAGTATTAGATGTTAGTATTAGATGTCAGGTTATTGAAAATTTTTAGAATCTTGAATAGGACTAGCGAATATGGCTTTTAATAGTGCTTATATTAGGTGTTAATAAGATCCTTATTAGCTTTCAATGAACTACATCAGCAGACTTGTGTTCGCTTGTTGTGATGGTATGGAATAATTGCACCTATTGCAATACATTTATACTCGAAATATTAATGCGTTTTTGCCTTTTGATTCCGAAAACTTCAGTATCGCACCATAAATGCCTGCTTTGCTTCTTCTATTATAAGAAAATCGCTAATGTATCAAAATAAAGTGTTCTGGTTTACCTTGTAGGCTTTATATAAACCATCTTAATTATTTTTATTAGATAGCACCACTTTATAAAACTTAATTTCACGTGCACGGTGTCTTGTGGTATTATAATTTCAGGAAGTTGTTTTGCAGTAATATTTAACTTTTGTCATGACCGATCTTACCCGTACTTATAAGTAGATTGGTTTTCTTTGCTTGACATTGAATATGAATGTGAAGAGATGTGACTTTTAGAAGGACTCCAATGGAAGCCGTCGCACATGTTCACACAACACCCGTAATACCTACTTGTACCATGTTAATTATGATTTAATATATAGTTATATTGTATTATTTCTATGAACCGCTAGGTATGTTCTCACTACAGAATTCATCAGTGTTTGTAACCCAAATAGTTACCTAGGCTTTAGGTTAGTTTGTTAGTTGGAAAAAATCTGTACTATCTTTTTTAATGAAAGGAAATATTTTAATATTATGGTTTTATGGTTTTTCATATTAAGTTATTAATTTTTCTAAATAGTTCCCATATTGCTATATTTTGTTAGTAAACTATTAATGGATATTAACTATAATAAGTAAGTAGCAACATATCAGAAATATCAGATAATACCATTTTAATAATACCATTTTCAATATTATTTACTATTCTTCTCTGTTCATATCTGAAGCACGTTCATCTGCTAACTTCATAAGTAACAAATAATCTAGATAATTTTTTTGACATATGCTACTAAGAGCGATTAGTTTTAACATAAATTAAAGCATAGTGTACGTTTATCTTCACAAAAATTGTAAAAAATAAGCCTTTTGACCGCCCACTTCATGAAGAATAAATTACATAAAAAACTATTTCATATTTTGTTTTGAGTGTAAGGTGTAAGCCTCAAGCTCTGCGGCACGGCATAAAAATGCTATTTTCACGGTAATTTTTTTCAATTTGTGGCAAGCTTTTTTCGTAGTTGTTGCTGCAGTG